TCGTTGGAAACCGATTAAGCTCTCCCCTGGGGGGTTCCCGCTTTCACACCTTTTCTTTGCTGATGATATTTTACTGTTTTGTCAAGCTTGAGAGGATCAAGCTCGCTTGGTGGCGTCAATCTTGGAGGAGTTTTCGCGATCATCAGGCTTGAGGGTCAATTTGTCTAAGTCTAAGTTTGTGAGCTCTAGAAGGGTTTCACAGAGGAGGATCGACATACTGGAGGGTTGGCTTGGGATTGGCCACACGGCTCGAATAGGGAAGTATTTGGGGGTTCCCATGACTCATGGTCAGCCGAGGTGCGCCGATTTTTATGATGTGATGGATAAGATTCAGGGTAGACTTGCGGCTTGGAAGTCCAAGCTTCTTAATAAGGCAGGGAAGTTGTGTCTGGTCAAGTCCACCATCTCCTCTATTCCTGTTTATAGCATGCAAATACTGTGGCTTCCTCAAGCAGTGTGTACTAGAATTGATCAGGCTTGTCGTCGTATGCTCTGGGCTAATTCTGACAACACACGGTTCTGGTCTCCAGTGAGTTGGGATGTTGTGACTCAACCCACAGAGTTCGGCGGTCTTGGTGTTAGGGAGGCACGCAGGGTGAATGTTTCACTCTTGGGGAAGTTAGTTTGGGATATGCTTACGACTCCACAGAAGCCTTGGGTTCATCTCCTCAGCAATCTATACCTACAGGGAGACTCTATCTTGTGTGCTCAAAACAGGCGGGGTGCTTCTCCGACCTGGTCAAGTCTTCTGAAGGCCCTTCTTTATCTTCGTGAGGGATTCGTGCCTCAACTAGGGTCGGGTGCCTCATCCCTTTGGTACACGGACTGGTCAAGTACTGGGCTTTGGTGTGGGAAAGTTCCATTCGTTCATATTGCGGACACCAACTAAACAGTCGCAGATTGCTGGGTTAGTGGTGCTTGGAACTTCACTGCCCTGTATACTGCTCTCCCGGCGGAACTGCTACATTCGGTCCAACAGTTGAGCGTCGCCAATTCCTCTTTGGGGCTGGATCACTTCGCTTGGAGGGGGGATAGCTCGGGCTGTTACACAGCGGCATCTGGGTATCGTTTTCTAACCACGGTACTTTCAACGGAGGGGGACGAAGTGTGGAAGAAGATCTGGAAGTTAAAGATTCCTGAGAAGGTTAAGTTCTTTCTGTGGCAATGCCTTCATTCAGCCCTTCCAACGAATCAGGTTCGGGCTGATAGGAGGTTGGCCGACTCTGGTGCATGCTCGCGTTGCTCTTGCCCTCACGAAATCATTTTACATGCACTTCGTGATTGCCCGTTTTCGCGAGAGGTGCTGATGTCTGGTGGGATCAGTGTGGGGTGGGCTTTCTCGGTAATGGATTGTTTCCAGTGGCTGAAAGGGATTATTTTGCATAAGGATGTTATTCGGCTATCCATCACTTTATGGTGGGTTTGGCGGTTTAGAAATAACATGTTGTTTACCGCTGAGCTTTGGACGATTTCGGCGGTCCGTTGGAAGGTGACACTGTCTATGGTGGAGAACAATGTGTATAACGCGAAGAGGAGCTTAGGGGAGGAGTCAGCCCTTTGGAGGCCTCCGGAGCATCCGTGGGTCAAACTAAACACGGACGGGAGTTGGTTGACTGGATCTTGTGCTATGGGGATGGGCGGAGCAATTCGAGATTGGACAGGTATGTGGCGGGGGGGGGTTCTCGCGGGGGGGGGTTCTCGCGTGGAGCTTTACATGGTGATGCGCTACGTGCTGAGTTATTGGCCTTGGAGGATGGTTTATCGCTTTGTTGGGAAGGCGGGTTTCGGAAGGTGAGGTGCGAATGCGATTGCCTGGGAGCTGTTACGCTGTTTCAAGAACGATTAACGCATAGGGATTATCTGCATAACCACTATGATGTGATTCGTCGTATTAAGCGCATGCTAGCTAGGGACTGGGTTGTTTACGTGAGTCATATCTCTCGAGAGATAAATTCAGTAGCCCATACGCCGGCTAATTGGGGTGTACGGAACATAGGTTCCAATGTATTTTGGAGGAGTCCTCAAGAGTTTGTCCTGTTACCGTTAGGGAGAGACTCTATGTCTTGAGTTGTCTGCTGTTTTTTAGTTTTCATTCTTTACAAAAAAAAAAATCTTTCAAGCACGTATTTGATGAATTTCTTTTTCCAAATACCAACTAAAATAGCTTCCTATTTTTGACTAAAAATGACATTTTACTATATGAATTAATTTGTTGTAAAACATGAAAAGAATAATCTATCCTCTATCGATTTATATATACTTTTTTTTTTTGTTCTCTCTCTTTATCAATATATAAAGAAAACATTTTATTTTTAAAATGTGAAAATTCTTCTCATTCTAAGAACATAATTATTAAAAAAAAAATTACTATTTTTTATTTATAAAAATGAAACTCAATTTTAGGAGGACTATTTACTCACATTGCTCAACTATGGTCTAAACCCCTTAGGAAATTTAGATAATCTAATTATAAATAAAAAGGCAATATTAAAAGCAAGCCAGCAATTTAAAACCTAGTTTTAAAATAATTAAAAAGTATAAATAAAAATAAACTAAGATTCAATATATTAAAAGATCGTTGCATATATTTTTTGATTTAATAGAAAATTAAAAATAAAACCAACAAAAACTATCAACCGAAAACTAGCGAGGCGTAATCCTAATCACACCCACAGTGTCTAAAAAACCATATGAATTCTAATAATATTAATAATTTAATTTTTGTATTATAAAATTCTTTATTTAATTATATTATTAATAATATAACATGTGTATTAAGTTTTTTATTATATTATATTATATAAATATATATATATATCAACTTATATGATCACCTAGCATACTTTTTTATATGCTTACATATATTTTTTTAAAATAAAAAACTTTTTAAAAAAATTAAATATAACATTGAATAAGTCAGGTAAGACTTTGTCAGAATTTCAATAAGGCAGATAATAGATGTAATCCTTATTCTATCCCTAGCCACCACTGGTCCTCCCCCAGCAAAGTATGGGTCCTGCATAATAGAAAGTAAACCTATATAAAATATAGGAAATGAGTCAAATGCCTGTAGTATTGTTTTAAAAGCATGATTTCTGTAATTAGCTATGAGAATATTAATCTGGTACTGTACTGGCCATGGATATGATAACATTAGGCATTAGCCCTTTTTTTTTCTTTTCTTTTTCAGCTGTTGTATGAATCTAAGATGGTCCTCATAATCTCCACCTTTTTACCAATGTTTTAAGAGGACGAAGTGAAGCCTATTGATTATGATCGTATTCAATGTTTCCAGTTCACTCACTCTATTATTTTCCCAGGTACACTTCAGCTAATTCAATTTTAACAACTCATTATATCACTATATATCCACCACTGGGAATGCAGTGGTAAGTGAGACACAGATTAATATCTGTCGAGGACCAAAAGTGGAACATATGCATAAAAAAAGAAATAAAGTGGTACAAGTTTTATTGTTCCTTTTCATCTTGAAAAGTATATACATGAAAAATAAATAATTTCATCCAGTGTTATAACAAAACGAGACCGTAGCTTTATTAGTTTTGTTTTTGCGTCTCCATATATTATCACATCTCCCTTTCAAACGAATTATGCAAAAGCAACAGTAAACTTTAGGTAACAATGACTTTAAAATTTGTTAAGTAATTATTCATGATCTTGATTTATTTTTCATAATTGAAAAGTATTGAGAGAACACTGTTAAAAGGAAAAATAACACTCCAATATAAGTATTAAACTTTGTCAAAATATTATATTATTTTTTAAATGTATGCATTGCTTATAAAATATTATTAATATCAGTAACTTATTATTACTGTTACAATCGAGCTTATGGTCTAAGTGTTTAACCCATATGACAAATCACTTAGCATAAAGCATCTCACTCTAACAACATAGCCCAGTGAAGTCAATATGCAAAGTATATAAGGCACTTAGGATACAATATTGATTAATAGTATTTTGATTTGGAAAAGTATATACATCTTTCAAAATATTTTTATCTTGTATATAAACAGATTCTAAAATAGAATATAATTATCTAGGTGATCTCTATACTAAAAAATCTAACTACACTCTAACACTTGTATAAATCACACGAACATTGTTATAATATGTATACATTTATTTCACATTTTCTTATTAATGAAATTATTATTGACTTTGGACATCAAAATGACTTTTAATATCTTTACCAAATTTGTATGGTGTTAGAGTCATATTAGAGTTATACTTAATATCAAATTAAAATTTTAGCTCACTCAATACATTGAAATTATTATTCTTTTTAATTCAACTTGAATATATTTTTATTCCATTCCAAATACTTTATCTTTGTTCATCTAAGACAAATAAATTATTGTTCAAAGAAGTTTTTAAGAATTAAAATTACTTAAATTTGCCTAAGATAACTCATGTTACACAATATATTAAATCAATTTGTCATCTTAATTATTACAAATAAAATACTAAAATTAATTAATTATAAAGCACTAATAACTAATTTTATAATAAAAAATTAAAAAAATAAAAGAATTTACATTAAACCTATCGACAAATATTACCTTGGGTCTCAACATTCTAAAACATGGCCTGCTAACCAAGACTTGAATACCTTCTTCTTTTGTGATTATTTTCACTGATCTATCTTATCTACAAAATCCATGGCTCCATAAATAAACATACCATACAAATTTATTAATATCTCTTACTAATACATAATTGTTCACCATGTTCCATTTTGATTTTTTTTTTCTTCTATAAATATGATCCATGTAATATTTTAAAGTTCATATTAAAAAATTAATTCATATTTGTGAGGTGTGATTTTTTTTATTAAACATTACTTTTGAAATCAAAACTAAGAGTATTAAATTAATTTTTGTGTTTTAGACCTTACAATTATTGAACCAAGAGATTTGGATATTTGTTTTGATGTTTAAAATTACATTTCAAATAAATTTAATGATAAGATACATGGTCTCTCCTTTTTATTAATTTTTCCCTCTTCCATCCCCTGGATATATATACATGCTATAATGCTATATGATACCACCTTTCTCTATGCAAGTCGTACTCTATAGTGTATTAGTGAATATAGTGTATAGCCTCTATAACAGCTGTTGTGTATCGATCAAACTGAAAAGAGATATTTGTGTTATATATATAGCAATGGTTGTGGCTTCTCCAAGTTGGAGGAAGAAAAGAAGAAGAATGAGAATCCCAACGATTGACCTATCGATGGAAAGGTCGGCGTTGTCGGAAGGAGTGGTAAAGGCGTGCGAGGAGTACGGTTTCTTCAAGGTGGTAAACCACGGTGTGGCGAAGGAGGTGATTTCGAGAATGGAAGAGGAGGGTGCAGAGTTTTTCGCCAAGCCCACCCACGAGAAGCGAAAAGCGGGCCCAGCCAGCCCTTTCGGTTACGGCTTCACCAATATCGGGCCCAACGGTGATATGGGTGACCTAGAGTATCTTTTGCTTCATGCCCATCCTCTTTCCGTCTCCCACAGATCCAAAACCATAGCTAACGACTCCACCAAGTTCAGGTAGGTATTCATCATTCTTTCTCGCCAACAATATTTACATGTACTATATATCCTACTGTACCGTCCCGGGTATAAGCCGACCTGGCCGGGGGCACTCGGTCAAGTGTCTTGACTGGTAATAATCCGATTCACTCCCATACCAAGGTTTTGACCTGAGGTAGCACTAGTTAGGCACTTTCGTCTAATAGGCTCAGGGCTGGAAGACAAGTGTACTGTCTCGGGTATAAGCCGACCTGACTTTGGTATGGAGAGGGACTCAGTATTAGCTGATTTGGCACCTCGGTGGGGAGAACCCGGTCAGCCGTAGGGTTTAGCTCGGTCAGATTCCGATCCCGCTTCCCCCGTAGGTTTTGGCTCGGTCGGATTCCGACATCATCTCCCGGTAGGGGGAGCTCGGTCGGATTCCGACCTCGTCTCCCTGTAGAGGGAGGCTCGGTCAGCATCCGACTTAGCCTTTCCCGTCTGAATGTTCTCTCGGTCGGTTTCCGATCCTAACCTCCTATTATAGATACGAGACCAAAACTAAGGATAAGTTCTCACCTTTAATCATCAAATATCTTCAAAATGTTAACGGTGATGAAATCCTTACACTCATGGGGCCTAGGAGGCCCAAGAGCAGAGAGAGTATAAGACCTAAAATCCTAGGACTAAGGTGGTAGATTACACTTTTGAATGTTCTGACTTTGCGACTTGTTACTAGGAAGAAACCTTAGTCCACCATTTGGCCGGAACACCTACCTATTTCCTCCATTCGGGGTGAAAACCACATTAACCCATCAAAAATTAATTCAAATCTTTTCTTTTAACACTACATGCTGATTGTACAACAAAAACCTCTTGTCCTTTTCATTTTCATCTTTTTTTCTTTTTTTTTTATAGGTAAAATTATGGAGATCATTAGCATCAAGTTGTTTTTACCTAACCAATTCTCATAAATTCAAGTCTAAAATATACAATTTTATCGAATAATTAGAGCATACATTTATTATATTTTGTTATTATACTCTTTGTAAGTTTATGGTTTGTAATGTATAAAGAATAAGATAATTTATTTTGTTGTCAATCAAACTTGAATTGAAATTCTATTTTATTCTAAATTCATATAACATCACTTTAATTAGCTTTAAGCATTTTTTATCTTAGAAAAAATGTTTATTTATTTATTCTTAGATTGCAGCTAACTAATAAAGACTTTAATTTTTATATTTGTCGGTGAAAATATTCACACAGTTAATAAATTAGAAATAGACTAAAAGTATTAGTAATTTATATTTTTAATTAAATTATTTAAGATTCAAATTTTGTTCTTAAATATGAAATAAATTATATTAAAAAAATATATGTATATTAAAGGCACTCACAATTTTCAATACGAATGACCATGACATACCAATATCACAGCCAAAAACTAATAAAAAAAACTGAACAGTTAGTAATAGTGAGCTGTTAACTTCTTATATACATATTCTTTTCTCAAATTAATCTTTTAAGAAATATATAGATGAAAAAAGATTGATATAAAATAAAAGAGTATATATGTCTAAAAAGAAAATGAACACTGAAAAAAAAAAGTATTTTCTTAATGTATTATAAATTATAGATTATTGATAAACAAATATATAAGAAGAAATTAAGGAACGAGTCAACAAGTCCCTCTGTATCTGATTCTTACTTAACTGCCCAGCAGAATGGCGACTTATGGCCTGTGACTGTTACTTGTTTGGGATATATAAAATATGTGACCTCTTTAAACAATTTCTTTCAAAAAATTTGGCCACCTAGTATGCTATCCAAGTCAAAGACATGCTAATTTTACCTTTTCGAAATCAAGCATGATGCAAGTTACCATTTGTTAATATGTTTCATAATATCATTCATGTACGTAGTTGTTTTCATGTGTTTGTTTCGTATACGTGATGAAGTCTTGTGCACCTGTGAATAAATTATATAAGGATTTTCACTTCTACTGGATCCATCTGTGTATATCCATGATCATTGCGGTGGATATATATATATATATAGGGATCATATCAAATGAGAGAGAATTTATTGTGAGATGTGAGAGAGTTGAAATACAACCCTTAGATTAATCAAAGTAAGAGAAAATTTGGAATTTAATCAAGTAAGAGAAAATTAATCTAAGATTATATTTTAACCCTCTCACTTCTCACAATAAATTCTCTCTCACTTGATATGCTTCATATATATATATATATATATGAGTTAATCATTCATACACTGTTAGTATAAAAAAATATTTTACACTGGTAATCAATCATATATTTTAATAGTGT